GTAACCCAAGAGTAGCAGGTGTTATTCCTCCCCTGTTTTGGCTAAATTTCCACTGCAGTTATAGAAAGTATATAAGGGAACAAACTTTGATAATAAAGCGCACTCTGGAATAAATGTCCAAAAGTATAACTGCTAGGTCATATGATAAGAGTATGTTTAGTTTTGTAAATTCTGATAGACTATTTTCCAGAGTGTCCGTACCATTTTTCATTCCCAACAGCAATATATTACAAATTGGCTTCTCTGGGGGCTGTGGTGTGGCTCATCAGCAGAGTGCTCACCTAGCACATGCAAGGCCTGAGTTTGATCCTCAGCACAAATAAATAAATAAAGGTATTGTGTCCAACTACAACTAAAAAATAAATATTTTTTAAAGAATTAGCTTCTCTGCATTCTCACCATTTTTTTATTTTTATATTTTTAATTTTAAATCTTCTATTAGGTGCATTATAATATCTCACTTTAGTTTTAATTTGAATTTTTTGCTTCCTAACTAATGATGTTAAATATCTTGGATTCTGTTTTTTTTTAATTTAAGTCTCATGTTTGATAAAGTGTTTTTTACATTTTTGCTCATTTTCTAATTGGATTTTTTAATGTTGAATTTTGAGAGTTCCTTATATATTCTTGAAATGTGGCTTTCAATCATTTTTATCCCACTTGTTAGCTTATCTTTCAAACATCTTAACATGTTCTTTTGCAAAATAAAATTTTTAATTTTGATAAAGACCAATTTCTTAGTTTTGTTTTATTTTATTTATTTATTTATTTATTTATTTTGTGGTTCATGTTTCTAGTCCAAGGACCTTTTCCTTGCCCTAGGTCCCAAAAACTTTCTTCTATATTTGTTGATAAATGCTTTATAGTTTTATATTGTACACTTAAGTCTATGGTCCATTTTGGATTAATTCAGGGGGGTTAATGAGGATTTACTCTAGGAGCACTTTACAACTGAGATATATCCCCAGCCCCTTTCATTTCTTATTTTAAGACAGGGTCTATCTAAGTTGCTCAGGAGCTCACTGATTTGCTGAGGATGGCCTTGAATTTGTCATCCTCTGAGAATACAACAATGTGCCACCGCTCTGCTCCCAGCCTAATCGTTCTTTTGTTTGTTTGCTTGTTTGTTTTTTGAAGCTGTGAGATCTAGAGTAAGGTTAGTTTATTTGTTTATTTATTGCCTATTTTCATTTCTATTTTTCCCATTTCTTATCCTCTTGTGGGTTGCCTAGATATATTTTAGAATTCTACTGAGTTTTTCTAGGGTGCTTTTAAGTATATCTTTTTATATTTTTAAATTCTTTCTCTAAATATTACAATGTCCATATGATGCATATCACAGTGTATCAATATCAGCATTAACATCTCACCATATTAAGTATTTATAAAACTTAGATTTATTTTGATCATTTTACTCATCTCACTTTTAAATATAAATGTTAAATATTTCATGTATGTTTTAGGCACCATATCAGATAATATTTTAGTTTCAAATTCAAATAGTTTTAAAACTCACTAAGCAAAAGAATTAGTCTGTTAATTTATTTTTAACTCTGTTTTTGTGTACTCTCCCTTTTAATTCTTTCTCAAGAAAGCAGCCTCTTGTTAGTATTTCCTTTGTTTAAAGAATACTCCATAACTTTTTTTTTTTCAGTATATGTGGTATTGGGGATTGAACCCAGGGCTTTGTGCATGCAAGACAAGTACTCTACACATTGAGCTACATCCCCAGCCCCCTTTTGGCCATTCTTAAGGGTAGTTCTAGCAAAAAATTCTCTTAGTTTGCTTTCCTCTAAAAGGCTTTGTTTCTCCTTCCTCCCCAAGCACATTTTCACTAATCTGGACATTTAAATAAAGTAGTGTCACTTCCTTGTGGTGTCCACGGTCTCAAGTTAAGAAAGAAAGAAAGAAGGAAGGAAAGAAAGGAGAGGAAAATTCACTTTAATCTTTTTCTTTTATAGGTAATGGAGCATGTCAGTCACTATAGCATTTTCCAAGACTTTTTGCTTTCTCTTTAACTCTCTCTGTTTCAATTATGATGTATATTGGCATAGAATTCTTTATGTTTATCTTGTTTTGAGTTTCTCTCAGCTTTTTGAATCAGTTATCTGTATCTTACACCAATTTGGGAAATGTTTGAGCCATTATCTCTGAGTGATCATTAGTAACTCCTCCTTATTTTCTAAGACCCCAGTGATATAAATGTTGGGTCTTTTATTTTTATTTCACAAATGACATTGATTACTTTTTACTAATGAACCATCACTTGTTCATGGTGGAGGGGTCATGTGGGTTTTTATTCAGTTTGCTAGTTTTTTGTTGAAGATATTTGTATATAAATTCATGAAAGAGATAGATCAGTTCTTTTCTTTTTGTGCTTTCTGTGTAGTTTTGGCTTTAGCCCCCTCCTGGTCTCATAAATTGAAAAGTGTTTTCTCCTCACTTGTTTACTCAGGGAGATTATATGGAATGGGATTAGCATTAATTTTTCTTTAAATATTTGGTAGAATTCTCCAGTGAAATCAACTGAACTTGGAGATTTCTTAAGATTTTAAGCTAGGGATTCAACATCTCTTGGAGTTGTTGGGTGAAATGATCACCTAATATATGTTGGGTAAATTTGTTATTTTGTGCTTTTTAGGAGATTTGGTCCATTTCATCTAAATTGTTAAATTTGTGCATGAAATGCCATTTGTAATATTTTTTAATACTTTTAGTTATTGAAGAATTTGTAGGAATATTGCCTATTTTAATTTTTATATTGCTAACTTGTGTCTTCTCTCTTTTTACATATGTTAGTCTTGCTAGGTGTTTATCATACTTACTGGTCATTTTAATAAAGATCAAACTTGCTTCTACCAGGTTTCTGCTTTCAATGCTGTTGGTATCTGCTCTGATCTTCCTTATGTTCTTTCTTCTGTTTGTTTTGGCTCCATTTTTCTAATTTATTTTTTCCTGTTTCTTTAGGCAGGAATTTAAATTATTGATATGATAATTGCCTCCTTTTCTAAGGTGAAGTATTTCATGTTTAAAACTTCCTCTTAGCCCTGAATTATCTGCATTTCACAAAATTTGGTATCTTGAATTTTCATTTTGGTTTAGCTCTCTTTAAAAGATTTTTTCTGAGATATCGATTACTCAGAAGTGAGATATTTAATTTCCAAGGGTTTGAAGATTTTCCTGTTATATTGTTTTCTAGTTTGATTCCACTATATTCAGAGAGCATAATCATCCTATATGGTTTCAATTGCTTTAAATTTGTTGGAGTTTTGTCTTTTGACTCAGGATACTGACTTTTTCTGGATTAATTGATCTCGTTAAAATACCCAGTATAGTGTTGAACAGGCATGACAAGAGTCATCCCCTAAGTTTAGAGGGAAGAATTCAGTCTTTCCCCATTAAGTGTGATATTATCTCCAAGTTTTTCATGAACCTCCTTTATCAGTTTGAAAATAGTTTTCATTTAT